CGACTCTGTTGAAAACAAAAGAATAAATAAACAAAATAACATTATTTTAATATAGGTCAAACATTGTTTACACACAGAAAACCCAAGGGAAATCCATAATATGGAATATTATTCCATTTTCCAATAATATCCTCAACCAGGTGGGTAAACAGTCCATCCTGCCAATATAATGTCTCCCATGGGAAGGCCACTAATCATAATAAAAATATAAAGCAATGTTTTTGTCGGAGAATCGCGTCGATTAATCCTCCTAAGTGTGGGGAAAGCCATGCTTTGGCATGAATAGGTCGGCTCGACCGGAGTGATACCACGGCCTCACAGAATATCGACATAGAAGACCAACCACAGCGTTGTGTTTCGCCGTGTCAGTGAGGTTCCCTAATCTCCAAAAGGTTGGCAACGCACTCGTAACTCCTCAGTTGTTGCGAATGTCCATGCGCGGCACTGATTGCTTACCATCAGGTAATCCGTTTCCTCGTTTGAAGACAAATAACATAAAAAAATTATAACCTGAATAGAAAGAAAGAAAGAAAGAAAAAATATTTATTCGCGTCTGAATTTATACTTTTTCTTTCTTTCTTTATTTATACTTTTTCTAATTATCGTGAATAGAGTAAGTCCTGATAATGTTATGGAATTAATCTTATTTGAGCAACTAGCTGTGCTCCGCTGTTTCCCTCACGTAGTTTATAGCCTAAGTTCCCATATAATAACAAATAATAACACACATAAGTAACGAAAAATACAAAAGGTTCCGTTTCTGTCCACTCCCACGGGGAATAAAACTGCTTGATATTTAATTCATAATATATTTTGTGAAATCGAACACGAAAACGACACAAAATACTCTTTTAAACCTTTAAGAACACTTTTAGTTTTGTGGCTAGCAAAAAACTTTATTCGAAATTCAAATTGTTTACTTTTATGAGATCATCCTAATCATTCTCATCTTTGGTGATTTGTACAGTTGAGTCCAAATGAATATATTTAATTAATTAAATGAATACATTTAACTCTTTGTGTGGTCCACAAATTGTTGTTCCGGGTCTGGGTGTCATGTGTATGTAAATATGTATGTTTGTAAACGCACCCACGACACAGGAGAAAATCCTAATGTGGGGCAACGTTTCTAAATAAAAAATAATATTATTATGTACTTTTCTATATTATTCAATTTTATCTCTATAATTCATTTGCTACGGGTGTAAATATTGTCATACAAGAAATGTGATTAAGTAGAACAAAGCTTTTTGAGGTTTGCTCTTTACTTTTTAAATTTTTCTTGTCTTCTGGAATTGTTCTTTGTGTGTTTTGCTTAGAGGTGAGTCGGCGTTGAGTACCTCGCTACCGCTGCATATCAGAGTTGAAAAACGTCAAACTCAATAAAACTACACCATTTTTTGAATAGTAACTATCGTGACACATGCTAAATTTATTGAAAATCATTAATAGTTTATGTTTCAGTCATTAGTTTATTTAACTAATAAAATGGTTATTGGCTGTCAGTTGGCTGTGTGACGTCACCGCAACGCGCACGCTGCTCGTGAATTAGTCCCGTTGTGATTTAAAACTAACAGAGCTTTTCTCAGTTCATTCTCGTGGGTTATGGTTATTTTTAATGAACCATAGACCACTAAACTATTTGATCTATAAACAAAACAAAAGCAAACTCTTGTTTTAAACATGACAAACAAAAAACGGTTGTAGAAACTTAGCATTGTTTTTTCTTCTGCACCAACAAGGCAGTTGTCAGAGCAATTTTAATATAGAAACCTCAATATAAATATTTGTTTGCTAAACGAGAGTACCTGTTCTTTGTTTTAAAAATCTTGGAAATGCATTGTCGTACAGGTCAACCGCAGTTTTAATAAAAAAACAATGGTGACAAGTTGAAAAGTTCTGCACTCCATTCGTAGGAAGATATTTATTTTGCTGTGGTTTATATTTCCTTTGTTTTTTTATGTTTAAGTTTTTCTATGAATATTGTAAGTAGTTGCAATTTCAGAAAATAAAAAGAAAAATTAATAGATTTTTCGAACGAGAGATAATTATTTACTTATATTTTTCAATAGAGTATTTATTAACAACAACATTAACAAGTATTGCAATTTAAGCGTGCGCGTCACGGCGACGTCGGGTAGTCGACTGAAAATTCAGAATAAGAGTCCCGTTGTGACTTGAAACTAGTAGAGTTTTTCTCAATTAATTCACATGAGTAAGCCATTATGTTCAATAAATTCAGTATGTAAGTAACTGTTAAAAAAGTATACGCAATTTTTTTTTTAATTAAAAGATTATGTCAAGAAAAAAATATTCGTTTGTCAGCAAGTATGTAGCATTAAAACTATTTAAAAGCCAAGCTTTAGAGGCTATTTAAAAAAAAAGTTTCGACTTTTAAACCTATAACACATCGTACGTAAATAAATACGTAATTTGATAGCAACAAAAAAAATGCCACAGGTAACCAAAACTTAAAACAAATGAAAGCTACAATCAAAGCACTCTAAGTATATTCTATTTTCTCCATACCTAAATCCTAACGAATCATATATCCTCAATATCTCAAGTCATTGTTCACTGTGATTGATGCCTTCGATATTGCTTATCGTCCGTCCAATGAAAAATGATGCTCAGCTTGAATACAGATTGTGTTCGGAAACTTTTCGAAATGGGAGGATCACTTCTATGGGGGTTATTAATTGGGGGATGTCTTATCTGGTAAGGCTTTGAGGACCCTTAGACGACAGTTGGGCGACCCATAAACGACAATATTAGATGATTTGGTCTTATTGATTATTAGACAATATTACACACTAGGATTTTCTCCTGTGTCGTGGGTGCGTTTACAAACATACAATTTCACATGCACATTACACCCAGACCCGGAACAACAATCTGTGGTACAAAGCGTTGTTCCGTGCGGGAATTGAACCCGTGACACGTTGCGCGCCAGCCAGTTGCCCAGCTACCGCGCCAACCGTGCAGTCAAGCTTGTTAGTTTTTTACGCAAAAAATTGTCAACCGGTTTTTATATATTTTTTTTTCATAACATTTTTAATGACATGGATTTCCGCAAAGTAACGCCTAGTGATTCTATAGCTCAGCATCGTTGCATTAACACATGACTTTTTTTCCAGGTTGCTTCTTATATTCAATCCAAAAGCGTACTAGAAGAAAACGCCTTGTGTTATAAGACCGCTCATTGAACACAATTTTATTATCCGTTTCAATTTTATGAGAAACTAGCGGCCCGCCCCCGCTTCGCACGTGTCCAACTACCTCGCTTTTCACTTTCACGGGTCACTTTTCCTAAACTTCCCCTCCACTTTTCCAATATTTTCTTTGATAAGAACCTTCTCCGGACAATAACAAACACAACAAAAAAAGAATTAGCAAAATTGGTCCAGGCGTTGTTGAGTTATGCGCTTACCAACACATTTAGCGATCCATTTTTATATATATAGATAAATAAATAAACACAACACTACACAAAATGTTCCATATACAAAATATAACTCTAAAAAAGTAAAGTTGAAACACGTAGAAGCATGAAAATGTTTCATGCAACATCGAAAACCGTTTCCCATTCAAAAGCTGTTATTTTGCAGCAGATTAATTAGTTTTAAGGGTACCAAGAGGAGTACAAAGCGTTAGACGCTCTCTAGATCTTGCTAAACTTGTTGACTGGCTTGGGATAGCTATCTTCACAGCACATCGCAAACTGTTGTTACTATTTCAAACTGTTTTGACATGCAACTAGTTTAGTTTTGCTGCTTAAGTGGAGGCGTAACGAAACCCTTGTTAGAAACAAGTTTGCATTTGTGAATTTGACTGCATGGAAAGGCATTGAATTATTTCATGTTTTGGAATAGTTTTAAATCTAATTTGACTTTTTTACGAATTCTATTCGACCGATTATTATTATCGATTTTTAAGTGTGGCTGAGCCATGCTTCGGCACGAATGGGTCGCCTCGACCGGACTTATACCACGGCCTCACAGAAAACTCGAGTGAAACAACCACAGCGTTGTGTTTCGCCGTGTGAGTGAGGTCCCCAATCTTTCAATCCTTTCCCTTCCCCAATACCTAAATCTCCTTATCCCTAATCCCTAAAAGGTCGGCAAATCACTCTTAACTCCTCCGTTGCAAGTGTCCATGGACGGCGCTGATTGCTTACCATCAGGTAATCCGTTTGCTCGTTTGCCGACTCATTACACAAAAAAAATACCAATGTTTATCATTTTAACAAAACTGTTTCGTGTGAAATCGGCAAAGTTATTATTTCTTTCGTTGTGGTCTACCACAACGAAAAACAGTCTTCGATACAAAAAAAAAATGTCTTCGAAAAACGAACACAATATTCTGACAAACACAAAAAACCCCAACTCAAACAAAATAAGAAAATAATATCATGTGAATGTCAGTTACATAATCGTAAAATAAATTCGGATTCAGAAATTCCGGCCACGTACGTTGAGGGTCCACTGCAGTATCAAATTTAACGCATCAGCTGTTGATGAAAGGATAATAAATCATATTGGAGACTGCCAACGGAGATATTTGAGTCTGCCTTTTTTCTTCGATATAAACCTGATGAATCACGTTTTTTAAAAATACAAAATAATTTTGGTTCTTTTACAGGTTTTGATGAATTTGTACGTATTTGTACGTATTTGTATCCAATTAATATTTTGATCAAACTGGCTTATAGTATTCACTTGTTTTAACCAGGAAAAGTTATGTTGTTATTCCAAACCATTGAGTGATAAAAAATATGTATTAAGTAACAAAAAGATTCTTAGAAGTTCTTGAGGTAATTTTTTGAGTAAACTCGACGTCATCTTGAATTTGAACGATATAAGACAGTAAAGAATATCTATAAATTGCAAAACAAAACACATTTAAGGTACCTTATTTTAATAAATCAGATATAAACAATAACAATAGGGAACAAAAAAACAACAAATCCAAAATAAATATAGTTTTATAAAAATAAGTAACAGGTAGACATGTAGTCAACATTATAATTATGTCAGCGAAGTTCTGTTTTTAAACTATGACGGACCTCAACCAGTTCTGGTAAAAGCTAACCCTAACGTACATGTCAGGGGCACCCAGAGCGCATGGGAAGCCCCAGGAGACGATACCGAACTGATGACCATCGGAAGCGCGACGAAGAGCACTACCAGAGTCACCCTGCAGGAAGACACAAAAGATTTTTAGTCAGAAGTATTAAATAAGATAGGTGTGGTAGGTTATGGCCCGCTTCTCATGAAGGAAAGTGAGAGTTTTAGACCTGGTATGAAAGTACTTAATAAGTTTATTTAGAAACCTACCACACACACGGTGAAGAAAAAAATATGATTAATACCATCAGTATCATTATTAAAAATGACTTAAGTCATTATCATATAGGGGAAAACCTCTATTATACTGAATAGACCTCATTGAATTTCTTCTAAATCAAACAATCAAAGAGAAATACTCACATTGCAAGCACCAAATCCAGCAGAGTGGTAAGCACAGATCTCGAAGCGAGGATCAACAGGAGGAGAATTTAAGCTATTCAGAGTAATGGCAGCACGAGCGGCGTGAATCATGCAGTCAGCGCCGTCCAGGGTGCTGGTCCTTAGTTCCAGCAGTTGTCGAGAAATAGCACCACCAGCCTAGAATATTAAACAAAATGTTAAAGTCACGAAAAAATTCAAGGTCATAAGCATTTACAAAAACTAAACCTAGTCTTATTTTCTGTCAGTCAGTGAATATTACTGAAGCTCTTTTAAAAACTTTCTAACATTTATTAGACAAGCTCTGTGTCTCTGTTTCTACGTAATGGCATTTGTGACTCCTACAAGCTACAACTGTTAGTTCATTAGATCTATCCAAATCTGTAATAAGTTTTAGGTTACTCACTCGAACTCTACCCCATCCAGCCAGTATGGATGGAACTTCTCCACCAATGAAGTCGTAAGTGAGAGGCACAGGTTGCACCTGGCTGCTAAGAGCTACGTCAATGGCGGTAATAAGAACACCGATGTCTTCCTTGATCGTGGGCCTGTACCAGTTGGGGTGAGTGACATTGCGAGCCACAACGTAGTCAGTTCCACCGTTCCAGAGGTTGGAGCCGATGTTCAGACGGAATGTGCTGTAGAAGAATACGTGGTTTACATGAACAAAATACATACATTAGGTAATGTTAATCTTGTCATACAAAAGTTTTACCTAACAAGAGCACCTTCCCTAAAAACAGCATCAATGCAGTGGGCAGCAGTGAGGACTGTGCGCTGAGTGATCAAAGATGCTCCACAATGGAAACTCCTGACAATTGCTCCAGAGGTCATTGCCACCATGTGAGGGTGACCACCAACCGCTGCCGGAGTACCGCCGACGATACGGGCGTTGACGTCGGTTTGGTCAAAGAAGATGGACAAATCATCTTCTTCGAAAAAGGAATCTTCGGGCGTTGGAATAGCTGTCAGAATGGAAAATATTAATGGAAACAAAATAATGAATTGTCACCAAAGAAGGGGCAGGTAATATATTAAGTAAAATGATTATATACAACTTACCCAAGCTTCCAATCAGGAAGGTAATAAACACCACTAGTTCCACTTTGAAGTCCATGTTTCAGAACGCCCAAAACGTATTTGAACTGTAGACAAATAAAATATGTAATTGATTTCCATAATCTACATTACTCTTTAAGCTTTAAGATAAATTATAATCTTCATTGATAGTTTATCGTTGCTTTATTAAAATTATTACAATTGATACGATTTCGAGACAAATATTCAATTTATCAAAAATTATCTTGGTGATAACAAATAATTGAATGTTGTAAATTGTGCTGAGTTAGATAAAAATATTGTCAAATCACTTACAGCAGTAACTTGATGACCATGTGGGTGGAATGGAATAAAAAAAAATATTTATTTTCATCCACTTATGTATAAAAAGCAGTACAGCTTTAGGAATTACCATTCAAGCAAACTTTTGCTTGTGATAGTTTTAAACAATATACACACAATTATAGGAAATAATTCAGTAAAGTTACATACATACATGTGAAAGTAGTATCGAAGATAAATTGGTAAACAGTAAAAATAAACAAAGCAGTGGTTTTTTTTGTGAGGGGAAAATCATCAAATGACTTCTCCCGCCCAGGGCCGGGCGGAAGGGAGTGTCAGACTCTTACTGACTAAAAACCCCCTGTTTCTTCTCCTGCTCTGGGCCGAGGTCGCGGTGCCTCTCAAAATCAGCCCTATAGGGCCCCGTCTGTGGTAGTTTATTGGCTCTTTGAGCACTTGAACACTACGCCCCGTACGCTCGGGCTTGGTTCTGGTCGGGCGGCGAGCTGCCCTTACTCGCCGACCCGCGCTTACGGTGGCCGGAGATCGTCCCTTGATCCCCGACGCTCGTAGTGTCGCCTGTTGCGGCGGCTGGGTCGTGAGGAGGAGGATTGCTCCCCCACGAGGGCCGCCTCCCTCTTTGCGAGCATAACTGCTTCACAGAAGGAGGAGACGGCGTCCCAGTTCCTCTCACTCCGTACTATGGCATCGACTAAGGCCGGGAGCGAGAGGTCGCCGCCGCCTATCACTTCCCGAACAAAGCAGTGGTTAGATTTATATTTAGGTTACGCTATCGGTGTACGAGTATGTATGTGAGTGAATGGATGTGTGTATGTTTGTGCCGATGTGCTTGTTGAACTACCTATGTGATTGACAGTATTAACTCAATTTCTTGGTAACTTTTATTTGCCAGCCATTTGGTGACTGTTTTTTTTGCAGTCGTTACGGAATGACCATTAAATAACGTTTAATAGAATAAAGTTTAAGGTTTTAATAGTGTGACGGAAAAGTGGTTCAAACTCTTTGACATCATGACGTCAATGGATGGTTGTCAAACGTTGCCTAGAGATTGTAAATTTCGTCGTGAATTGTCAATACGAGTTGGTGTAATTGGTAAGGCGTGTGGATTACACCACAGAGACCCCGAGTTCGAGTCCCGCCGTAAACATGAAGTTTTTTAGTTGATGGAAGTTTTGTCGAACTTTCTGGAATTATTTGTGTGAAAGAAATGAAAAATTAAAGAGCGAGAAGGAGAATAAATAAAAATGAATAACGAAATTATTGGAAGGTTCTGGAGGCATGACGATCAAAAAGAATAACGAAATTGAATGTTCCAGAACTTGACCGGGGGGTATATAAGCGGAACTGCGGCTCACCGCTGGCAGTTGAGTTCTAAGTCTAAAGCGATTCGGAAGAAAAGGAAGAAGTGAAAAAGAAGAAAAGTGAGTGAAATAGTGAAGTGCAGTGAAATAGTGAAGTGCTGTGAAATAGTGAAGTGCAGTCAGTTAAGGGAGTTAAGTCAGCGTGAACGGCAAAGTTGTGTCAGTCGGCCGGATTCTGCTGGAGAGGAACGCCGATAACTTAACTCCGTGGACGCTGTAACTTAAGTGCAATAGAAAGTCTGAAAACCGGTATTAGTGTTTCATTTCATCCAATCCCGTAACCCAAGCCCGCATAGTCAGGAACGTGACGAGGCACGTAACGTAACAATAGTATTGTGACGATAAATCTGTGAAAACTAGCTAAAGAGCTTCGGGATTAAAATATCGTCGTATCGGGAACACTTCTCTCTAAGATGATGGCTATTACATGGGTTAAGAACTCTGACATACCGTTCGACCCCTCCTATTCAATTTGCACATAGCACCTATACCGCTGGTTAACTTCCTTTTCTAAATCTGCAGTTCCCTTTTAAACGTTTTCATGATAAAAGTTCAGTATTGTTAAGGCGAAACCTTCTGAATAGTTAAAAAATCGCTTAGTTTTAAAGTCAAAGTAAAAATCATTTATTCCAACTAAAGTATAAATAAGTACTTTTGGAACTTCAAAATAGTAGCATTCTGCCAGTCTGTTCGTCAGTGCAGCTAGGAGCTCGTTTCAAATTGAAGATTCGAATGGTAAACGAGTAAGAAACTCCATGGTTTTTTTTAAATAATATCATTTATTATGCATTTTGTAGCCTTATAAGAGAGCAATGTAGAGATGATTATTTGTGTTTTTTATGCAATAAGTCGGCAAACGAGCAGACGGATTACCTGATGGTGTACGAGTGCGTTGCCGACCTTTTGGAGATTAGGGATTTGGAGATTTAGGGATTGGGGGAGGGGAAAGATTACGCCTCCCGTAACCTCATTCATACGCCGAGTCAGCGGCGGGGAAGCTATAAACAACTTGTTTAAAAAAAAAACTTTATTGTTTTAAAATGCATGGTAAAATGAATAAAGCTAATTCATATAAAGTTTAAAGTTTTATTTCTAAACGATGACGGATCGCAACCAGCTCTGGTAAGTGCTGACCCTAACGTACATGTCTGGGGCACCCAGGGCACAAGCGAAGCCCCATGAGACGATACCGAACTGATGACCATCGCGAGCACGACGTAGGGCACTGCCAGAGTCACCCTGCAGGAGTAGAAAGAACTATTGATATGGATGTACATTTCACAGATACGCTACACAATGACACATTTGCATGTAATTTGTTTTAAGAGACAATTATAGATGAGATTGAAATTAATCCATCATATAAAAATTCTAAATATTGGGAAAAGACCAATTTTACTTTCTTTTGTAAAATAAAAATTTAAGGAATAAATGTAATACTCACATTGCAAGTACCGAATCCAGGAGAGTGCAATGCACAGATTTCGAATCGGGAGTCAATGTGAGGAGCAGAAAACGAATTGAGGACGACGCTAGCACGAGCGACGTGGATCATGCAGTCAGCACCGTCAAGAGTCCTGGTTCTCAACTCCAGCAGTTGACGGGATATGGCACCACCAGCCTGTAATTTGAAGTCAACTTCAAAATTACAAAACAATGTCAAGGTTGAATTTGTAAGGCAAAGTCAAGGTCGAAGCATTTTATGTAGAAGTGTCAAAATAGAATGAGTTTCGTCAATTAGTCAATTAGTGAACCTAACGATTTGTTTTAAAGTTGAGATACATACGTTCATACTAGCTTGTGTAATACTAATTGGTAAGACACATCGTCGGTAAAGTCATCTTTAAGCAAAATTTCGAGTTAATGTTTATCAAACCACCGTCAAGGTCAAGGTCGAATTTGTCATTCCCAATCAATTATTCCAACTTAACCATGAATAGGTATTATTGAAGGCAAAGTCAAGGTCGAAGCACTTTATAGTAGATACTATGTCAAAGTAGAATGACTGTCTTCGATTAGCCAATTCGTGAAACTAACTTCTTATTGATTTTAAAATGGAGATACATACATATTCTTGTAGGTAAACAAGAACCAGTAAGACACATCTTTGGTAAAGTCAGTTTTTAAGGTAAACCAGAAATGCAGCTTATCAAATTGTCATCAACTGATGACTTTCTGACCTACAACTGAACATTTTTAATGCAAAACGATAGAGGTAAAAAAATATATACTATTAGAGAATCTAGTTAGATTGTTCGATATCTGATGTCCTGATTCTACAAAAAGATTATGTTTTGCCTTTTGCTACTACAATCGACCATTCCTACCGAGCATGACGTGGTATAATAGTATTAGTTTCTCACCCTAACTCTGCCCCAACCAGCAATTATAGATGAAACTCCTCCACCAATGAAATCATAAGTGAGAGGCACAGGTTGCACCAGGTTGCTAAGAGCTACGTCAATGGCAGTGATGAGAACACCGATGTCTTCCTTGATCGTGGGCCTGTACCAGTTCGGGTGAGTGACATTGCGAGCCACAACGTAGTCAGTTCCACCGTTCCAGAGATTGGAGCCGATGTTCAGACGGAATGTGCTGTAAATAACATTGAAAAGTATTTATATAGATTACAAAACTACAATAAGCTTAAAAGACTGGAAGAACCATGCTTCGGCGCGAACGGGCCGGCTCGACCAGAATGACACCACGTCGAAACATAAAACCGGTGTGAAAGAACCATAGAATTGTGTTTCACCGTATGAGTAACCAGAGGCCCAATCCCCTATCCCCAAAATTTCCAAAATCCTAATATTCAAAAGGCAACACTTGTAACTCCTCCATTGTTACGGGTATCCATGTGCAGCATTGATTGCTTTCCATAAAATAATCCGTATGCTCGTTTGCCGACCTACCACATAAAATAGCTACCTCGTTAAGCTGGATAAAGACAACTTACTCAAGAAGGGCGCCTTCCCTAAAAACAGCATCAATGCAGTGGGCAGCAGTGAGGACAGTACGCTGGGAGATTAATGATGCTCCACAGTGGAAACTTCTTACGATCGCTCCAGAGGTCATTGCCACCATGTGAGGGTGACCACCAACCGCTGCAGGAGTACCACCGACGATACGCGCGTTGACGTCGGTTTGGTCAAAGAAGATGGAAACGTCATCTTCGTAGAGAACATTTTCAGGTGTTGGAAAGGCTATCGAAAGGAAAATATTTTTTTCATAAGAAATATTATTGTTTGAAAGATATGTAATCAAAATGTTAAGTTAAATAACTCACCAAAGCTTCCAATCAGAAAGGTGGTGAACACCAGAAGTCCGGCTTTGTAGTCCATGTTTCACAACGCCTAAAACGTGTTTGAACCATTGGCCAAAATAAAAATATCCACTGATTACTTATCTAAAATCCTCTTTATCAGACAGATAATTACCATTCAATATTGATAGTTCATCATTACAAATGTATTATATCGTAGATGAAATGCTGATAATGAGCGACTATCAAAAAAATGTACCTGAGATAAGCACGGCCCACTTACTGAACCAATATAAAGTTCGAAAGCCAATATCTACTCGGGTCTGCGGACGGCGATTAAGGGTAGCGCGCTCGACCAGAACCAGACCCGAGCGTACAGCGCGCTGCGTTCCCGTTCGAGTCGCAAAGAACCAATAGACCAGATACACACAGACGGGGCCCTATAGGGCTGATATTCAGCCGGGGTTGCGGAGTAAGCGCAATGAGGCACCGCGACCTCTGCCTAGAGCAGAAGAAAGAACGGACGGACGGACGGACGGGTTTAGTTAGTAAAAGTCTGACTCTGGGTGGGAGAAGTCATTTTATTTTTTCCTCTCTCAAAAAAGCCAATATCTTCTGCAGATACTAACAATAATACCATTGAAATAACGAAGTCCAGTATGTATGCGGATTTGTGCAATCTGGGATCCAGCAACAATGTGAATAAGAGTATCATTGAAGATCATTTCTTGGTAGTTTTTTGCCCCAGCCTCTTCAAGCCCTGAGTGAATAGTTTACTTACGGGTAGGCGTGATACATCATAGGTCAATGGCCAAAAGCCTAAACGACAATACGAAATAAAAATACGATGCAAATACATTATTATTACAATTGTACTTTTAGTTATCAGCTGAATTTAATTTGATACTTATAAATGAAAGAACATTTATTTTAAGGACTTTATTAAAAGAAAATGTTCAATTAAGGTCAGTCTTAGAACTCAACGTTCATTGGTAGGCATTTTGGCCCATTTTAAAACAAAGATGTAAAGCAGACTAGATAAGTAGATGACAGAATATGCTTACGTCATTTTAATACTCATATTATCTGAGCCAAATACGAATGTAGGTTATAAATTACAACTCTTTTTTTTGTGAGGGGAAAATCATCAAATGACTTCTCTCGCCCAGGGCCGGGCGAGAGGGAGTGTCAGACTCTTACTGACTAAAAACCCCCCTGTTCCTTCTCCTGCTCCGAGCCGAGGTCGCAGTACCTCATTGCGCTTACCCCGCAACCCCGGCTGATAAATTACAACTCTGCAAATACATATTTTAATATACGTACGACTAACCTACAAATATTTTATTTCCTTTTTCTTTTAAAAAGTAATATGTAAGCTTTGCGTAATAAATACAAAGCTTGTTGATACGACATCGAAGTGACAACCCATGCGGGAACGAGCTGCCTGCGACATCCAGTAACTTGTATATCTTTGTACGAACCGTTTAAAATTTCAACCCCTTTGTATAAGTACAATTTATCTTATTACAAAGAACAAAAGACCACGATGTTTTGTTATTCGATTGTGAACGTTGTACAGACGTGTTTACGTTTCTTTTTCGTTACAAAGGAATGTTTATTTTGTTGGAATCAAAGGTTGCTCAGACTCAGGGTTGGAAGTTGAATATAATGTTTGAACAATAGTTTTTGTTGAATATTTCTTCATTTACTTTGAGATTAACTTACTTATAACAGGTGAGAACTCCACTTAAGTACTCGAATTATTGTTCATATATTACTATTAAAAATCACTACATAGTATAAAACAAAGTCGCTTTCTCTGTCCCTTAAATCTTTAAAACTACGCACCGGATTTTGGTGCAGTTTTTTAATAGATAGATCGATTAAAGAAAAATGTGTATATGTTAAATCTAGGTACTCTCCCGCGGTTACACCTGCTTCCAGCTCCATTTGATCGTAGCGTGATGTTTTATGCATTTATTACTACATACATTTTGCACTCAGGAAAATTGTAGCTATCTATCAGTGAAAGAATTTTGGCAATCCGACCAGCGGTACCAAAGATTACCCCCTACATACAAACTTACAAATTTTATCTCTTTATAATATTAGTATAGATAACATCCAAAAAATAGTGGAAAAATTAAGAATCAAAATTGCATCTGAGAGACGGGAAGCATTGCTAGTTATACCTAGGCTGGTAATGAACTTGAAACTCTTTTGATTTGCAAATGTCCATGGACGGTACTGATTATTTACCACCAAGAGATCAATCAAGACGATTACCTACTATTATTCAAAAAGAAGTACGCTGTTTTAAACATCTTCCAAGATTATGTCGCTTCAGAAATAGTACAATCGTCAGCATTATATGCAACAAGAAACATACTCGTAAGAACATCAACTATCTTGATTTAGTTGGCAAGACGCTAGAATGCAGGATGTAAGCTCAGCAGTCGTTTTGCCAACACGGTCAACAGTCGTTTCTATCTATTAAGTATAGCGTAACTGCCAAAAGCTGAGATCAACTTTGGAGACTCTTCGCAGAAGTATCTCTTTTGAGAGAATCGTCTCTCTTCATTTCGAATCAACTAAATGCTTCTTTTCTCTCGTAATTTTCGAAAAGAAGAAACCTAATAACTTTACTGGAAAATTATTATTAATTGTTCCTTAATTGGTTTTTTATTTATTAGTGTGAATGATTCATAAAAAAACGCAATAATAAAATTGACCTACTCCTCAGTCTCATTGACGGAACCGGCGTAAACTTAACAGAACTCTGTGTTTTGCCGTGTGAGTCAGAATACCGGAGGCCAAATCCTTCTCCTCCCTCAATTCCTTAGCAATACTTCCAACCTACAACCTAAAACGCAAAATTCCTCTAGTGTCCCTATTGTGTGCGTACATGGGCGGCACCGATTACTTACTACCAGGTAATGCTCGTTAATCGCACTATCACAAAAAAAGCTATCGTAGATCTTCCAGCTTAATTTACAAATAACCGAAATGAGACACAATATTATTAATGTCGGTTCCATATGTAAAAAACTGCTTTTAAAATCGAACACTTGAAGTTAAGGACATCTAAAACCCGAGCTCGATATTTACAAAATGATTTTCTTGATATTAATATGCTATGCACGGAACAGTAGCTTAAGGCAACTATAGTAATTATATTACTTGGCGTCTGAGGCTCCATCGAGGCTTTCCGTTGAGCCCTGGACCATTATTACCTGAAATATTATCCACTCTATTCAAGAGCTTTTAAACCTAATAGTTCAGTCAAAATAGACATTCCAGTTTGCATTAATTCCCAACAAGCTGCATTTTTGTGCAGGCCTTGAATACGTCATTACAAATGATATGTCAAAAGTCCCCATCGATCCCGCTTGTGCGTTGTTTTTTATTCGAGGTCAAAGGTCACAAATTTGCGTTTTTTGCGTATATCTCTGAAACAACGAGAGTTATCGAAAAATGGTTCAGACAAAGTTTGTAGATCGTAAAATTTTCTACAAAATATATCTCAACACTTTTCTCCTACAAAGCATCGCTTTCGAGATATCGTGACTTTAGAACGCAGGAAAGTCGTACTTTTGACTATATGCACACATTTCCGCACCACCTCTGAGGTAGTGTACACGGCGCTTTTTTTTTAACGTGGTTTCCCCAGTAGGAACTACACGAACACCTAGTGATAAGATCATTTACTTTTTAAAACCTGGGAGAGCTCAAGTTCAAACAAAAATATATTCTTCACAAAGTTTAACTGCATATCCAAAATGTCAGCCTCATATATTATTCCTTCTTGCGATAACTAGCTGCGATACGGCATCAACAATTTTCAAAAGAGGCAAAAATACAGTATTCAAATCGTTTGAAAAACGTGAAGACTTGATTGATAACGCAAAAGTATTTACAAATATTAACTCGTCAGCAAATGTTATCCTCACCAATGGAATTCGTGTTCTCCTTGCTATGTATGGAGCTCCAAAAAAAATGGAATCGATAGACAAGTAAAGATATTTGAGTTTTGTGAAAAATACAAAAAACAATAAGAGAGTGCAGTTATCTTGTCTCCCTCCAATATCTGCTTCTGCTAATCAACACTTATTTCGTGTGTTCTACCAAGTGCAAGTGTGGCTAGGCAATGATCTAAATCCTGAAGATTAGGGCTGGAAATTGATGAATAATAGTTTGGAGCCAATCCAGACTTTACTGCCACCTGCTCCAGAAAAATTCCTCAATACAATTTTTTGTAATTGCAAAAAAGGCTGCACAAACAATTGCGGGTGCAGAAAAGTTGGATTGTATTGTTCATCGGTATGTACCAATTGTCAAGGCCAATCTTGCACCAACATTGAATCAAATACAACAGATGAAGATTGTTTCGAAATTGATGAGGATATAACTGATATATCTCTCTTCTTGGAGCAGTCTACACAAATCGAGCAAGAAGAGGAAGAAGACAGTGATGAAGAAGAAACAAGTGACTATGAAGAATTTGATGTTGAATGATAATGTAATTTTCTTGCTGTTAAAATTTTCATTAAATTTAAATAAAAAAAATTTCATCAATAAAATAGTGTCCCATTACATTCCCTTGATCAAAATATATTGTGGAGTATTCCTACTGGGGAAACCACGTTAAAAAAAAGCGCCGTGTACACTACCTCAGAGGTGGTGCGGAAATGTGTGCATATAGTCAAAAGTACGACTTTCCTGCGTTCTAAAGTCACGATATCTCGAAAGCGATGCTTTGTAGGAGAAAAGTGTTGAGATATATTTTGTAGAAAATTTTACGATCTACAAACTTTGTCTGAACCATTTTTCGATAACTCTCGTTGTTTCAGAGATATATGCAAAAAACGCAAATTTGTGACCTTTGACCTCGAATAAAAAACAACGCACAAGCGGGATCGATGGGGACTTTTGACATATCATTTGTAATGACGTATTCAAGGCCTGCACAAAAATCCAGCTTGTTGGGAATTAATGCAAACTGGAATCATAATTTAGTCTATTTTGACTGGACTATAACCTATTTTTCATAGTTAACTTTTATAACTATTAAGTTACCCAAGTAAGAAAGTTTTAATTTTTAATAAAGTCTGTCATAGGTTTTCATTAAGTATCTTTGGCGTTATTTAAGTGGATTTTTATTTGAAGGAAAGAAATAAAGTGGCGTTTCATTTGTGGATTCAACTGTGAGAAATA